ACAGGATGAAAGATTAGTAAGCCCTTCCATGGATCTCAACATGCAATTATTAGAGAGCCCAGGAAGGGATCAGGCCTCCTACAGCTTCCTGCTCTTGGAGCTCAGGTTCATCATTGAATGGCTGAAAGACGCTGTCGGTGGCAGAGGCCCTATTAATAAAGAGATGGCTGGAGAAGGACCTCCCTCCCCCAGGTAATCAAGGTTAACAAGGTCTATTTGCTCGGAGGTTATCCTACCTTGCCAAGTGATTTTCTTCTTCTTCAAATAGCTGACAGAAACTGACAAAAATGAGTCCCATTGCAGCTTGGGCATCCAGATTCTGGCTTGCTGAGATTTGGGGCTTCCATCGATCTTCCCCTGATTATGCAGCGTGCAACTCCGAGCAATGTCATTTACAGTTTCAATTAAAAGGGAGCCCACTTAGCGTTGTGGAGGGGGAGGGCGCGTAATTAATGCTTGAAGGATGTTTGTGGGGGAAACCTGACTTCAAAAGATGCTTCCAATGACTGTAAGTGGTGATTACTTTTTGAAAGGGTGCTTAAAAGTGTGTTAATTTAAATCACCCTCTCAAGCCTCCTATTGGAAAATGACATCTTAGCTCTTTTTTGTACAGAATGAACCATTATTCCAAGGGAGAGAGGGGGAAGCAAAGGATGGATGGCCGAGTTCCTTCCCCACTAAATAAATGAATAGCATAGTGTAGAACAATGATGGCGAACCTTTTTCGCCTCGGGTGCCAAAAGTATGCGTGCGTGCTATTGCGCACGCTCGTGTCCCCACCCCCATAATTTATTCCCCCCATGCCATGCCCCCTGTGCATACACATGTGACATCCCCCGCAACTACCCTGTGCATGTGCCCATGGCTTCCTTGGAGCCCGGGAGGGTAAAAACAGCCTCCCCAACCACCCCCGGAGGCCAGAAACAGCCCACTTTCCAACTTCCGGTTTGTGTGTTAGGCTGTTTTTCGCCGTCCTGATACTTTAGGGAAGCCTCCTGAAGCCTCTGGAGGGCGAATAATGGCCCAACACACAAACCAGAAGTTCGGGGATGGACTTCTGGGTTGTCCATTGGGCTGTTTCTCTCCCTCCGGAGGCTTCAGAAGGCTTCTCCAAAGCCTCTGGAGGGCAAAAAAACCAGCCCAATGTGCAAACTGGAAGGCTGAAATCAGCTGCCCCGCATGTCCATGTGCGCTGGAGCTGGCAGGGCAATGCCTCGCGTGCTCTCAGAAATGGCTCCATGTGCCACCTGTAGCACATGTGCCATAGGTTCACCATCACGAGTGTAGAGTATCAGACTAGGGCTACCAGAGATTTGGGTTCCAATCCTCCATCCCCATAAAGCATATTCATCTTCCAATGTTCACAAGTATGGGAGATGCAATATCAGAGCTTGATTTCATGACGAAGGACTTATTTTGATAACAGCCACACCAAGATCCATTCCATGTTTTCAAGAGAGGAACGTCAGAATTCCAAATGTCTATGGAGATTCTCAGTCATCCAAGTCATGGTTGTCCCAAAGGTGCTTTTTTAAAGAGGCAACTGGACTTTCTTCAGAACTGTCCAGTTGCCTCTGTCCAAGCTTCTTGGATGAGAAGTGAAACATCTTCAAGGAAAGACAGAGCCCAGTTGCCTCTTGAAAAAGCACCTTTGGGTCAGAAGTCCAAATACTTCAATTCCTGTGAAAGGGTGACTGCCTTTTTGAGCTCATTCTCCAGGAGTTTTCATCTCCCACTAGCAGCCTATATCTTGGGGTGCAACATTTTTCTGGCAGTGTTACATGAGAACAGCTAAGCCATTGAAGGGAAGTTGTTGCTTATAGATGGGGCTTACTGGATACAACGAGAGCCACAATGAAGAACTGAACAGGCTGCTGAGAAAGAAGGAAAGGGATCAGAAAAAGAAGAAAAGAGATAAGAAGAAAGCCTGACCTCTGTTTGACTGCCTCACCTCTTGTGGGGAAAGAAACATGGCCTCAGTGATGGCTGGAAGTGCCTGACTTCTTTGGCTTGGTATGTCCAGCTGTGCCCATATTTGGAAATATCAAATCTGATTGTGATAAGCCAGAGAACTGCTCTCCCTTGCTCCTTCCTCACTTCTGTCAAGCATTCAGAAACATCACCTGCCACAAAGTGTTTGGAAGCAAGATAGCAATAGCACTTTGACTTGTATACCATTTCATTGTGCTTTACAGCACTCTCTGGGTAGTTTACAACATCAGCATATCACCTCCAACAATGTAGATTCTCATTTTATCAGGCACATACTACCATATATGGTGGTTGTGCCAAAAAAACAAAAGAATATTGGCGGAAAACTCAAAGGTGGCTGATAGAGATTTCCAAAGAGAAAATAGAATTCAAACCAGAACTATTTCTTTTGGGAATCATACATGATAAACATAATAAGGGGGCAATCTACTTAATAATATATATTATTATGGCAGCATAACTGGAAGAAAAGGGAAATTCCTCAAGAGGAAGAAGTAATTAGGAAAATTCTGATTTGTGCTGAAATGGATAAATTGATGTGGGAATTGAAGAACAAAGACAAATCAGAATATTATAAGATCTGGGATAAATTTTATCGATGGTTGGAACAAAAAAGGAAAGACCCAAAATAAGCAATGACTAAGATTTATAGAATGGAGACTAGAATTATGTATGAAATCACCACAGTGAAAATGTATAAGACAAAAACAAAGCAACATGGATGGAAATATGATATTCTTAAATTTGTAAATACTGAATAAACCAATTGTAAATAAGCATGGTGGTTATAATATTTAACTTTATATTCTAGTATGTATGGCAAAGACACTGCCAGGACGGTTACACTGTGTCCAATCTTGTAATGTGTGTTTAATGAAAACTTTTTAATTAAAACAAAATCTTGCCTGCAATGCTGCATTCTCACCACTGTGTCATCAATGCTCTAAAATGGTTAAGAGGAGCTAGTTATGGTAGGCCTGCCTTCCAAGGGCAAAGATGGAGTTTAGGGCCCTCAATAAGGGCTTGGGACAGGGAGATGAAGGAGCTTCCATTCCCAGACCAACTTGATAATGCATTAAAATTTCTGGATAACACTTGCCTGTTTCAACAGAGCTGAAGAATACAGATTAAAGCTTTACAGCAATTTTGAACTTTTCTCCTATTTCTTATTTCATCCTTTTAAGACTAATTGAGAACCTCCTCTGTAATAGAAGTTGAAGTTCATGCAAATCCTAGCAAATCTTAAATTTTTTAATCTTCTCAACCCAAAGCTGCCCAGAGTTATGGTAAGATGAGCAGCTAATAAATTTTAAAAATAAATAAATAAGTCCCTTCCCCAGGCAGTCTATTCCAGTGCTTCTCAACCCTGGCAACTTTAACATGTTAAACATCTTAAAAGTTGCTAAAGTTGAGAACCACTGGTTTGTTTGTGCCAATGTTCCGGGCATTCTGGCATCTTCTTCCCCTGTGCCTGTCTCTTAGCTAAGCCAAACGACATGAATTATGCAAGGCTGCTCTGCTGGGCTTCATATTGCCTTGTTCGGGCACTGCTGTGAGGCCCTCCTAAAACATTTCCTTAATAAAGGAGAATATTTGTAGCTCAGGGTTGGAATGAGAGGTCCTTGGTCCTTTCTGAGCTTTGTAGTTTTTATGCAGATATTCATTACTCATCGGTATTAGTAAGAAATGGGGTTTGTTCCAGTGGTGAAATTCATTTTTTTTACTACTGGTTCTGTGGGCGTGGTGTGGTGTGGCTTGGTGGGCATGACTTGGTGGGTGTGGCAGGGGAAGGATATTGCAAAATCTCCATTCCCACCCCATTCTGAGACCAGCCAGAGGTGGCATTTGCTGGTTCTCCAAACTTCTCAAAATTTCCGCTACCAGTTCTCCAGAACCTGTCAGAACCTGCTGGATTTCATCAGGTTTGTTCTCAATTTATATTCTAGCGGCTTGCCCTGTGAGTGTTGGTGGAAGCGGTAATGGAGGTTTTTTTGTTTGGGCTGTTTCCTGTTAGCTTGATTGACAGTTTGACTGTTTGCTTCTTAATTGATGGACTGATCTTAGTCTTGGAATTAATCTATGCTCATCATCTAGCAGAGAGCTGATCATGTTACCTAGTTTGGGTAATGAAACATCTGCAAGAAAACAACCAAGATCAAAGAGCATCCGGGACACTGCATTTCCTTAAGCCAAAAGTACACTGGAAGCGGTCCAGAACAGAGACTGGGCTGCCCTGCTTTGCTCTTTGGATTGTGGCGGGGTGAGAGACTTTACTGCTTCCCAGGAAGCCTCAAAGAGGCGCTTCACTCAAGCATTGCTCAAGTCAAGCCCAGTCCTGAGCAGATGGGTGGTCTGATAAAGGCTTGGTATGTTCGGGGAAGCCAGACAGATGGCTTAAGTCATGTAAGTATGCCTGCAGGAAATGACTAGGCCGAGCCTGAGGGAGGAATCAAATGCATCATCAGTTTGGAGTTGCTACACCCCAAAAAAAGACCCAAACCCAATCCCCCTTGAAGTTCATTGATTCTTATCTGGTGCCAATTCGCATTGAACGTTAGTACATCCAATTCTTGTATGTAGGTGACATGGAATAAACTCGCAGTACTTTTGAAGTCCACAGTGGCTCCTGGTGTTTTGAGCCTGTCAGCAGCCCTTGATTTAGTGCCCTGCCATAGGGTGTGAGTGAGATGGCAGAAATAGTGCAATCAACTTCTTTTTTCCCCCATATAGTCTCTGAATTTCCACAGCCAGTTTGATGAAAAGAAAGATTGGGTACAGCAAAATTTTTCCCAATTCTTGTTTATATCTGATCATTGTTACAGTTTTTACCTATTATGCTTATATTTAGTGGTTTCATAGTTTGCACTGAATATAGTGCATATTCATAATATGGAAAATCATGGAATGTCATGGCAGTTTAAGCAAGAATTTCAGGAAGCAAATGAGAAAGAGAAAAAGAAGGACGCTGCAAGAGAAAGTTCCCCTGATGGAAACGTCTGCTCACTTACGTGGTCAATCAGTTCCTTTATCATGCCGTTCCACTGGCCCTTCTCATCTTGGGCTCCGTACTTCCCATCCTCCACCAGTCGAATCTCATAGGAGAAGCCAAGGATGCGGGAGACTTCCGAGAGGAGGTCCACGCAGTAGCCTTCAAAGCGCCTGTTCCCAGACAGAACCGTGTCCGACTTTGCAAACATGACAAATGGCTCTTCCTAATGGTCAGAAAAGATAACACAATCACATGAAGTACACAGGCACTGAATTCAAAACACACACACACACACACACACAAAAACAGAGCACCTAAGTCAGAGAGTTGTGTCCCCCAATTGTGTGGTCAGCTGGAATGGCTGCAGCAACATTTTCTGGCATTAACCAACTGGATCATTAAAACCCTCACATTCCAGCATTAGCATATGTATAATTGGATACGCTTTGCAGGTTTGGCTGACCAGATTCAAGCAAAGTTAAGCATTCTGAAATGTCACTAAAAGCACGCTGGCTTCTTACGTTGGATTCTGGCTCTTAGTGCTCAAACATATGGCAGAAGACCAGGTTGCTGGTGGACATCTCTCTTTGTGTCCAGTCGAGCACTTCCTCACATATACAGATTTCTGCATCCATGAAACGTTGAACTGTTCCTTCTCCACATTTCCACACTCAACTCAAAAAGCAATGCATGTCTTGCACTATCCAATAGTGTTAGAATACTAGTGTCCAGATCGGATGACAAAAGTTTGTGACCAGAGTCTGTCTCAAGAGAAACAGCTCTGAGAAATGTGGACAGTATCAGAAACAATGAGGTGGGGCCTGAACACATGCCATAAAAACAGATCCCATGTGCTATGAAATTGGCAAAATGGTCAGACTTGTAGCCCATGTCTGGGGGCATCTGGAGGCACCTGTCTGTCCCCTGAACCCCAGGAGGCTCCAAAGCAGCCCACATTATCTACCAACAAAGCAGCCACGGCTCTGTGCAAAAAGATTTCTTCCTTCAGCACTCTCCAACACAGAGTCATTCCCAAATTCTGCAAGGCACATGTTCAGAGGCTGTTTCACAATTTATTAGTGGAAATGGCTGGGCATTCAATTTGCAAGCTTTCAAAGCTTGCTAATAAATTTATCGGCAAAAGTGCCCTCAATTTCAAGATCTTCACAGTTGTTCTAGGGCCTGGGGAAAGCAGAACTGTCTGTTGGGCAACACGAGGCTGCTCCCAACATGTTACTGCAATATATGAGCAGAAGGGTGTGAAAGGGAGGGAGGGAGTGACTGGAGGCAGCCTTCTCCTGTCTTCCCCTTTCCCCCTTTCTAGATCGCAGTTCCCGCTAGCAACATTATTGCATACAAAGTAGCAAAGAACAAAAGAGCATATATATATATATATATCCCTCCCTCTCTCCCCCCTCTCTTTCTTTCTCTCTCCCCCTCCTTCTCTCTCTCTTTCTCTTTCTTTCTGTTTCTCTCTCTCCCTCCCTCTCTCTCCCCCTCCCTCCCTTGAAATTATCCTTGCTCTCATGTAAGAAAAAACGAGATCTACAAACACCAAGGGTTTACTGGATTCAAATCTTGCAAACACGGAGGCTTTTCCAGTAGAAACTTGAGTAACAGGACCAAGGAAAGAAAAAAACCTAGTAGGGGTGGGGTGAGTGTTTGTTAGGTTTTTCCATAACTGTTCCCAGGCCGTCAGTTCTCTCTCTTCTGATGCCCCTTTTCATCCCTTTGATAAGTTTCCTTATTCGCCAACAAAGGCCCAGGAAGTCACTTGGCTGTGTGCGCTGCAGAAATATGAGTTTCCACAGAAGTTTACACAAGAACTAGCATCAAGAGCTAATATTTTAAAAATAAAGCATTATTATTTATATGATTGGTCATACAGTCAGCCAGATGGTCAGAGTGGAATTGACTTTTTTGTCCACCTATGGTGATCTTCCCAAGGATCTGGAAGAGGCAGATCTGGATATTTGTGGTGTTAAAGCAGAGGTGTCAAACTCAATTTCATTGAGGGCCGCATCAGGGCTGTGGTAGATGCTGGGGGGGAGATAGGCATGGCCGAGTGGGTGTAGCCAATTGGGTGGGCATGGTCAACTGGGTGGATGTGACCAGCTTGACACCACTCCCCAAACTGCTGGCATGTTTCCTTTTCACATTGGATAGACTGGGCCGAAGCTACGCTGGCCTGATCTTTCCTCTTCGCATTGGGTAGACCAGGACAGCCCTGTTGGCATTGAGTTTGACACCCTGTGTTAAAGGTATAATCACAGGGTAGAAGCTATTCTAGGTCAAGCTGCCTTTTGCAATTGACTGATGAGGATTTTGTCAGTGCTACTGGTAGTGAAGTCGTGCTCCAGGTGTTTTGGAATTGCACCCAAGGCGGCTATTGCTATTGATGCTATCTTTGCTTTCTTTTGTTGTAGTTGTTCTATTTATAGGCCTTTGTATATTGTTATCTTCTCCACTTTTTTCTCTTCTCTTCTGCTGTCTCAAGGTACTGCCATGTACACTATTCAGACTTTTTTGTCCTTCTTAATGACAATTGTTACGTCTGATCAATTTTCATTATTTCTCTCCTGTTGATGGTACAGGTGGCACATTTGCCCACTCCAAACTCCACTGCAATATTTTGGTTTTATATTTGGACAGTGTTGAGCAGCAATTCTATTTCAGAGAGTGCTTTTCTATACAGCTTGAGATCATCCATGTAAAACATGTGGGATAGTCTGCCAGTTGTTTTTGATGTTTGATAGCCATGGCTTGACATGTCCAATATTGTTAACAGAGGAATCAATGCAATGACAAACAGCAGTGGTGAGAGTGAGTCTATCATCATTGACCAGGAAATGTATCTTTCATTGTCCCATTGATCTTTACACAAAGTTTCTGATGTTTCCACTGACTCCTGTTATTTCTACACACTTTATTATCCAATCATGTGGCAGGGAGTCAAATGCCTTCTTGTAATCAATCCACGCTACATTCAAGTTGGTCTTCCTTCACTTGCAGTTTTCCAGACTCATCTTGCCAAGTCAGAGCTGATTTTTTGTTCCATTCTGCTCAGGTGGAAAGAGCTTGATTTCAACTAGATGCTGTTGGATGCATCAGCTACCACACCAGTTAGTAATTTCAAAGTTGCAAAGCAAATAATTGGCCTGTAGTTGTTGGTGCTGCCCCTTTCTTGGATCTTTTACAATCAGATAGATTTTGCCAGATGTTAACCAATCTTCGATGTCACCTTATTTTTATTTCCTGCCCACCTCATGATTCAGGTGACTCTTGTTAAACTTGGCAACAAATAGGTTCAGACCAATCAAATGCAGTTCCTCTTCGTCTGGTGCTGACCAATTATTGACCTATTCTCAATTCAGCTTCTTTTTTATTCTTATCTACTTCCTTTGTCAAAGCTGCATTCTTACTTGGGTTATCCAACAGCTGCACCAAGAATTGTGGGGGTCGTCTACGAGGTCATATCCATTCAGGTGGTATTTTGTGTTCTGATTTTTTCTGCCAATGTGTAAGACAAAGCATTTATTGGTTGAGATTTGGAGTTGCCAATATTTTGGCCATTCTGACACATAGTCAAGATCTTTTTGTAGGGTAGCAGCATTGTCAGTGGGGTTGAATAGTTTTACATCATCAGCTAAGAGCATGCAGTTGCTTATAATATAATCGCAAAGGTCATTTATGTAAAGTATAAAGAGCTTCCAGTCCTCTGGTATTTCCCTGGTGCTCCTGGAGCTTTGAAAGACTTGGTTCACTAGATCCAAAATCACCTTCCAGAATCACCTGCCTCCCACTTCCCCCATGCCTCTGCCTGCTGCCAGTACCATCGTGTGTAGGAATCATCTGTCTCCACTATTTGGGTTGTCCCTCGGTCTCCTTTGTCCATGTTTTCTCCAAAATAAGCCCTAATATGTCTTTTGGAACCCCCAAAAATATGACTGGGTCTTATTTTCAAGGAAACACAGTATCTCTAACAAGAATAAAATTCAGGGGTGTACATTTTAATTTCTGATGATAGTGAATCTGTGCTAAAAATGCAGCAGGCTGAATCTTCCACAATAGATTTGCAAATGTTCAGCATTTGGAAAAGCTGAAGCTTTGGAGGCAGCAAAGGACCTGGGAAAGTCCATCTCTAGCTACACTTCCTTCAGTGAAAGCATGCAGGAATGAGGCTGCCTTCATCTGGTTTGGCCCCTCCATTTAAAAAGGCAGGTCAAAGGTAGAAGCTTGCCTTGTAAAGAAGATAAGCTGAATGGAAATCTGAGCATTTATTATTATTGCTTTTTTTTTTAAAAGGACCTGGAGAAAACTTCTAGGAAACTCAAATCTTGCGTACTATTTTTAAAAGCTGAATTTGGCCTTAATAAAAGCATTAACTAGAAATTACTGTGATTAAGGCTTGTAATCGTTTATTAGCATGTATGGCTGACTCAGAGGGATATTTGGGGATGGATTTTGAGAGCAGGATGACAGCAGAGAAAGGGAAGTGGATGGCCACAGTCTGTGCTGCTACTGAGGGGAGAGGTGGGAAGTCAGAAAGGTATTTGAGGTGGCAAGTGAGAAGAGCACCTGAGACTTTTCCTCCTTCTAAGTGGGCGGTGAGGGCCATCAGCTTCCCTTCATGCTCTCCAACTTGTGGGTGCTTCCAAAGGAGGTTTTTTTTTTCTTGCAACTGCTCTCCATCACAGAAAGTTGAATCAATTCCATCTTTTGTTAGGAATGTATCTGTGGTTTCCTGCAATTTCTTCCCTCTTTTTTCTGACCCTGCCCCCCAAAGTGTTAAGGCAGGCCTCACTCAAAACCCTTTGAACAGATCCACGTACAAAACCTCCCCTGCCCTCTTTGTGTACCAGGAGCTAAAGTGATCGGCTAATCCTGAACAAAACTGGAGTTTCTCAGTTAAATGAAGACTCAGGATACCCTCCAAGGGAAAGCTAAACAGACAAAATGTCAAGAGGACATGCTTATTTTAAAAACCCAAACATTTGGAGCTTTACTACATCATTGCCGCTGCCACCTTGCCTCTGGGCCATGCCTTTTGGACACCCTGCCACGCAGGCTTGCTTTTCCAAACTCAAAATGACAATGGTACAAGGAGCCTTTCTGAGCCAGTCAGAGATCAGGCACAATACAGCAACAGACCAGATAATAATGATCAACCTCCGGCTCTCTTTCAGCTAACCCACAAAGGATTGGGACTACCCTGCAGGCCCTCATCTATTCTACCCCCATCCTCTTCATTGCATGTAGCCCCCTGGGAAATAAAAGAGAAGAACGTGCACAGAATAATATTACCTGCTCAGCCCATTAGTTTCTTCAGACCTATTTAGGAAATTATCCTGACCCAGAGCTGCTTGGAACAAACCATTTGAATTGATCTCCCATCATGCAGAGATTCAGAGTAGCTAGCAGTTATCAAGTGACCACAGAATGACCAGCTACGGCAGCTGGGTTACAGAAAGCTCCTCGGAGCACCAGTTCCAGTCACAATGAACATCAATGACTGGTGGGGAAAGGTACCAACTGAGATGGGTTCATAGAAATCCTGAATCACTCCTGGATGGGTGGCCTCAATAAGGAGCCTGAAGTCCCAGGACAACAATCCCATCAGGCCATTGCCAATCTATCAATCATTTCTGTTAAATCATGAAGAGAAATTCTTGGGCAGGCAAGAGTTTACAGAATCCCTTCCTGCTGGATTACTCAGGGTCATTTTTTGAGGACTATATTTATCTCAGATCTGAAACAGTAGAAAGAAACAGAAGGATTTCTGAATTTCCAAGTAACCTACCAGAACTGTGGTGACCACCAAAGATCGATTGGTCAGGGAATCCGTCACGTTGGGCCCCTGCCTCCGGGCAATTTCAGTGATGTTCAGCCCATCTGAGGGGCTCCACACTCCAATCTGGGATGGGAACAAAGGTGAAGAGTGAAACCAAACTAGAGCTTTCAGTCCTGAAAAAAAAACCGGTGGCAAAGAAAGGTGGTCAGATAGTTTGAAGGCCCTAAATGAAGGCACAGGAAAAGTCCTCAAATGTTGACACCAGTAAAGTTGGAAGAAAGCAAAGGGAGAGCTCACCCATGTTTGTTCAGATGGTACTTCCTTCAGTTGAAGGTAAATAGTTTGTCTGTAACAATTTGACTGGGGTAGGTGAGAAGGGGAAGTAGTAGATGGACTCCTTTTTTATCAAGAAGAGAAAGACCAGAAACCAGCTTGTCGCCGTTCTTGGATCTGCTCAGACAAACCACCTGTTTCTACTTTAACTGGGGGAAGAGCTCTTGGGGATTCCTGTCCAGTCCTTCCACAGGTACTACAGTTTCACCAACAATAGCATTTTCCATCTTGGTTTTAGGCAAGGATCTGGACTTTCTGGAACTTCCCTCCTTCCAACCAGGAATGACAACTGCTCTGCTCATTGTAACTCCACTCTCCAACTTTCCTCTCCAGCACTTTGTTTTGCTCACATTTTTTTTCTCTTCTCTCTTTGACTCCTCTCCTCCATTCTCCCTCCAACTTGGGTCAAGACCAGCAGCAATTGGGGAGGTAAGTGTGTCCACAGGCTCTAGTCTGTAACAACTTATAGCAGGCTGGGCCAATAGGACACCGAACCTCCCCACACCAGTCCTGGCTAGTGGCCAGGTCAGCTCCTCAGCCCTCATGACAGCACTGCTGCCCTTCAAGGGAAAAACCAGCTCCATCTCACTGTTTCTTTCTCCATTGGCTGTCTCCAGGCCACTATGGATGCAGATGTGGCAGCCACACTAATAAAAGGCATGCAGGGGGAGGCTTCCTTACGTAATGCTCCAGGAAAGGAAGCAAGAAAGCCCCAGAGTGGGGAGTGAATGGGGATTTTGCAGTATCCTTCTCCTGCCACACCCACCAAGCCACATTCACAGAACTGGTAGTAAAAAAAAATGAATTTCACCACTGCTTTTATGGCAGTAACAGCAGCATATTACTAACTTATATTTAAGTGTGGCCACCTAGATCCCTCTCACTGTTAAGACAGCTAC